TTGCCGAGCGTGCCAAAAGTTGCCAATTAAAAGTGGCAGCACAATTTGCCGCAAAGCACAGAGTCTGCCACTTGTTGTTGCACGACAGAGACAGACACAGAGACAGACAGAGACAGAGACAGACAGATAGCAATGCCAACTCGTTTGCAGAGGCAGTCGCATTCGTAATGAGCACCGTGTGCGAGTGCTGTGGATGCCAGCGATAAGTAGCTGCCACCGCGGCGGAGCAACTGCCTCATGCCATGCAAATTGCTCCGACCGCTGTCCGCTGTCAGTTGATAAAGCGTTTGAGGCCTTTTGCCACCAGCAGCGGTGGCAACTGTCTCTTTAGGTGTGGCCAGCCGACCGGGCGAACTTTAATTTGATGCCGTGCTTCCCCTTCGACCAGATCTCCAAACCCTCCCCCCCTCCACACACACACACACATAGCTCCAGCTCTAGCTGGCACAGAAACCCAAAAAGTTGGGTCAGTTTAGAAATAAATTGGAATTGGAATTGGTTTTTAAATTCTTTGCGTATTCGCGGGCAGAGTATTTTCATTTTGTGACGAAGCGTGTAACGCTTGATAGCAAATAGTTACAAGAACTATAAGAAATATATAATCCTGATATAGAAATAAATATCGACAATCAATCGAATTTGAATTTGAATGTTATTAATGCAAACAGAATACATAACGATAAGATATTTAGCAACCCAGTACAATATGTTTGACGTATCGGTGACGGGGAATAAATTCAATTCTTGGACCACGGCAGTAGACAGACAGAGCTTATGTCGAATCGAAGCGCTATATCATATAGATGCTATACACTTAAGGGAAATCTTCTCAACATCGAACCCCTATAGCATATAGAACATATTTAAAACAATCCCTGCTCGAGTTTAGGTATATAATATATAGCATATATACTAGTCTACTAGTCTTGAAGGGCATCTGAGCTGCGGCCTAGTCTATTGTATTTTCTTTTTTTTTGTTTTCTTTGGTTTCCGTTTTCCACACTCACTTTTCATCGACGGTAGCTTCTGCTGCTGCTTCGGCGAACAATGCGCGCTTTTAATGTATGTAAATTTGGAATGAAAATAAAAAAGAGCGAAAGAGACAACAATTAGGCAAAAGAGCAAAAGACCCGGGCCCCCCCCCCCCAGGTTTGGACCAAGCCAATCAACTGGCAACTGGCAACTGGGCAAAGAAGAATTTTTTCTAATTTACATAACTGAGGCATTAGCTGAATGCTCGCTCCTCGTTTCGGCCATTCAAATTGCTTTGCATAGATTTTCCGACTAAACAAATTTGTTGTTAGTTTCTCAGATGCTGCTGCTGCTGCTGATGCTGCTGGTGCATTGTTTAAGCACAAACATGGATCTACCGTTAAGACGAACAAGAGGCATTAATTTAGTTGGCCAAGCAGCTGGGCCTATACCCTAGCCGAAGAGCCTAAGGGCGTATTATTTATGGGCCAATTCATAAGCTTGAGTCCAAAATATGGTTTCAATTATGTTCAACTTAGGATAACATCAATAACTGATTGAATTGTGGTTAAGTAATGCATAAACTCATGTCCTCCATGGTCACATTATGTTCGTTTGTGGCAAATCTAATAAGATATCAAATTTGAAGGCATGACTACAAGCATATTATTTACTATAGTCTCCATGGTCACTTTAAGTTAGGCATAATAATTGACAGAAAATTGACAAAAATTGTACTGTGGCATTTACAACGGAATAAAGCTAACATCGGAAGCGTGGCACATTATAAAAGCTGTGAGGCTTAAAATTGAGTGTCCTCCATGGTCACATTGCTTGTGAGATTAATGATTATTTATATACTTATAAAAGCAGTAAGAGACACAAATGCGTATATTTGCAGCCTCCATGGTCATTTTTGGATCCATGACAGAGGCCAACAGCTCGAACGAACAGCTCGTTGAATGTGATATGCCTCAGCCTAAGGTAGGGCATAGAGAGTTGGCCATGCAGTTTGCTGCAAATTAATTAGACTCAATAAGTTGCTGCTGCTGCGACTGCTGAACAGATTCTATGTTCATATTGTGTTCAGTTGTTTTTTGTAAACAACATCTTTGCGCTGACAATTCTCATGTAAATGCCAAAAGTTGCTGCATTGTTTAAACATTTTCGAAATGAGTGAAGAGAGAAGAAGAGGAAGAGTGAAAAAAAAAACGGTAAACAAGTTGCTGTCAATGTGAAAACATGGACAACATTTCTGAGCGCTTTCTAATCGCTGCGCCCGATAAGGCCGCCAAGTTATGCGGCAAGTCTAGAGGCACCAGGGGTAGGAAGGGGAAGAGAGAGGTAGTGAGGTAGGGGCGATATTTATAATAAAAAACCAATTCAGCTGGCATTTTCCCAGCTACAACTAGCATTTCATTTTGGCATAATTTCTCACTCGCTGGCAACAATCAGCGAAGTACAGGTGAAAAATGGACAGCCGGTCAGAGATAACGACAGACAGGTGAGCCGGACAATTGCTGCTGCTGCTGCTGCACTTGTTAACCAGCTATCGATTGTTGCAACAACGGACCACTAAGCCACTGAGCCGCAAATCAAATGGCAAAACTTCTTTTATACAGTTGTCAATTATTTTCGCTAGCAATTTGGGCTTTGCAGCGAACCAAATTGCAGCTCCAAATCGATGGAGTTGGAGCTAGAGCTGGAGCTGCAACGAGCTGCAGACATCGTTAGGTTGCATGCCACATGGCAAACAGACACAGAGAGCAAATCCAGCGTCAACTACGTGAGGTGGCTCTTTGTAAAGTCATCCAGTCATTCAGTCATCTAGTCATCCAATTGCTGGCTACAAGAAATTGCTGAGGATTGGATCAGGCAGCAGCCGGTAACAGGCAGCTGGCAACATGGGGCAGCAACATGGGGCAGATTATAATTGAATGATTGCATGGCCAGCTCAAAATGATTTGTTCGTCATTAACTCTCAACTGCTTCTCAACTTGGCTGCTTGTTATGCGGATTATTTTGAACCCATTGATCATCAATTGATTTGCCTGCCAGTAGGTGTCAAAACTATTTGGCGCTCATTTTCAATTACAGCTGGCAAAAGCAATAAAAAACAATAAAAAAAAAATAGAAACAAATGGGCCCCGAAAATGTCCGTCAAGTTCATTAAATTATTTGAAATGTTTTGTCTTTGTCAAGCCAAGTGACTTATTACAGACGCAGTCCAGAGCCTAAACAACTGATGAATGTTACGAGCAAGAGCATTGACAGCAGGCTAGAGTTCGCTATGCGGTAGCAGATACCCTGTAAAGCCAAAAAGATGCTCAACTAACTGATGTCTTTGTGTTGTCAAATTGTTGCAAAATTCTTAGGGGTATCCTGACAAAGGACTTTAAGTATATTTATATGACAAATATCTTTCATTGTTAATATAATCGAATTATTCTAAACACGAAATATTCTTCATAAATATAGATTTTCAGAAAATAGGTAGATTTAACCAGTAAATGAATTGATTTGTTTAATATACCCAGGCATATTCCAATTCTACAATCTCTAGTTCTTATATTCTCTGAGAAGAGACTAGCCTAAGCTCGTCAAATTTTGCACATAATCATAATACCCCTTTTAGCCCACTTTGATGGGGTACAGGGTATTATAACGCAAGAGGACGTCGATGTGGACATGTACATGGACCTGAATGTGAACGTTTGACAAGAAATTTATTTAAAAGACAACTGGCAACAAATAAATTTCAAGAGAATTGTAAGCACAGCATGGCGCACAGATAAAGACACAGAGCGAGAGGGAGAGGGAGACGTAGGAGACAGAGAGAGAGAGAGAGAGAGAGAGAGAGATAGAGAGATGGAAGCTGGGAGAGACCAAGGCCTACAGATGCGATATAGACAATTGGAATGCAGACTCTGTGGCCTCTGTGTAGGAGTTGTCATCGTCTTGGTTTTGGTCTTCGTTTTGGTCTTGGTCTGAAATTCATTCATCAATGTAATCGATCAGACGTAGCTGCTTTGACATGAACTCGCGAGTCGTGTAAGCGTATGTAAATGGCTCGGTTAACAATGCGACATAAAATTTAATCAATTTATTGGGAACGAGGCATTGTCTTAGCATTTGCTGCCTTTTTGTTTTCCATAGCTACACTCTTACAGAGGGCATTTTAATTATGTCATGAAATGTGCAATGCGTAAGTGAAGTTGTTTAAGAAATTAAAATCATTTATTATATATTTATACAAAATGTGATGCACCAAGATTCGAGCCGAAGCCTGCGTTAATTGGCAGGAAAAGTCATGTAAGCTTAAGGCGGGGTACGGGTTCAAACCTTGTACCGCAACACCAACCATTTCCTTAGAAATACACATATGATTTTATGTTACAATCTTCTAGATTGTCACAAAATATTTGCCCTCAAGCAAAGTCTAAGACACTTTGCAATGAAAAGAAGAACTATTTACTAATCAACCCATTGAAAGGAATCTTCAATTTGTTAAGTTATTGGATTAGTTTAAATTCCACAGCGGCAGATTCCATTAAGTATTTACAAAGCGTATTATCTACTTGGCTGATTTTGATTTGCACTGCAAGAGTATATATTCTTTTGGCTTATAGCTCCCTTTTCCTGTTGATTTTCAACTTATAGTCTACACTTTCTCCACTTGGATTTCGCGATAGAAAATTGCACAAGCGGCATAAACAAGTCGCAAGTCGCAAGTTTGCTGGCACAGAGCCACAATAAATCCACAAAAGATAACAGTCGAGAAGGCGATGCCTCGTGCGGCATCTGAGGAGGAAGGGGGGGAGGGGTGGTGGTGGAGGAGGAGGTTTTGTTGGGCTGACCAACCGCACCCACATGCGCCGGCTGAGTTATGGGCAGCAGCAGGAGACAAAGACACGCGTCTGGATTTGAGTTTTCGATTTAGGTCTCTCGATGCGAGGGGCGAGAAGTATAGGGCCTGAAGGCTGACAAATGGTTCGAGCAGCTGGCAAATCATGTATAAGAAACCTGATCATGACTTTACTGTCATGATATCCCAACTACACACAAGAAACTCCAAATCTCGAGCACACATTTAAAGTTAAACACACGATGGGCAAACCAAAATTGGAGAAGGAGAACACGGGACCCACTCTGATTAGCATCCAAGAGATGCAGGAGCGGGAGAAAAAGTATATGCAGCGTTTGCAGGACATCAGCGTTAGCTGTAACTATATCAGGGGTAAGCGGCCAAAGCGTGCATCGAATTCGATCGATAACTTATCGATTTAAGAATCCACCATGGAGTTTGCACGCCTCGAGGAGCAGCGTGCACGTCTCGAGCATTGGGAGCATTATTTGCGCTGTGATGGCCTGCCACGCCCCTATTTGCCGCCAGAGATGCGCACATTTCTCGCAAAGAAACGTCACTATCAACACTTCAATACAGTGCACAACGTGGACTGGACATTGTCCATAGATGAGCGCACGGTGTTGAATCAGAACATCTTCCGCACAGATCTCACACGGCGCACGCTCAAAGAGAATCTAACTGAAAATATTGGCGATCTGTATGAGGCGGATATATTCATGTATGTGAGTACTTTGGTCAAGATCGATTGTATGCTCGGTAATGCGGCCGAAATGGAGCGTGTGGATTTTGGCCGTCAAATGGAGATCATGGATGTACGTGCAAGCGATCGATACAATCGATACAATCGAGAAAAAAAATCGATAACTTTTCGTTTTTATTTGGCTAGGTGCGCCGTGAAATCGAGCATGAAATCGATGACGTTTTCGATCGTCTAACCTATCGCATAATACGCATGGATGGCGTCTACATGAAGTAGGTGTAGTTGTCAATACCCTGTAACTATTGAAAATGCGGACAAAATGTACGCAAATAGTTAGCCAAGTCTGTCCGTCTGCTTAATACGCTGAAAACTGATTTATATATATATATATTCACTTTATCAAGAGATATCAGATTTGAACAGAGGGTTTCCTCAGATATAGAATAGTTGAGTTTTTAGAATGTATCAGTGAGTAGAACTGATCTATCTAGAGGGTATCTCAACAATACTTCACCTTGTTAATTGCTCAGGCTTAAATCTTCTTTCGCAGCTCAGATAACGCCCTTGTGGCCACCTGGTCTCATGCGTGCCCCAACTATACCATAGATCTCTGGGCTCTGCGCGATGTGCCCGTTCGTTTCGAACAAATGCTGTAAGTAAGAAACCCTGTCAAGGCCAATTTGGTGGCTTAATTAACTGAATTAATAATCCATAGCGCCCCGTTAATGGTCGCCGAAATGAGCGCTTCGGGCGTCAGTGTTCAGATGCCGTTGAGCGTGCTGCACGATTGCCTCACCTTGCGCTGCATCCACACGAAATTTGACAACTATTCGCAATACGCAAAGAGCTTTGATCCTTGTTTACCGGATGGCAATGTGGATGTCAATGCTGGGATTGTGGATATCGAAGAGTGTTTGGCCAACGAGTGGTATATGCAGCTGGATATACAAACAGAGATGTTGCTAAGTCTGCTGGAGAAACGCGAAGCCTATGATGAGGCTTTGCGCATCATTGCGGAGAAAACGGAGAAGTCTAACAAGGAAAAGAAGAACAATGAGGGCAATGGAACGAAAATAGTTATACCCAAGGCACCCAAGGAGGCGCTCCAGGTGCCGCCCAGCATGCTACCAGATGCCTATAGCACATTCCTCGAACGCGAACAGCAACAGTATATGGATATGCTCGATGAGATTTACAATCCAGCTAACCTTAAGTTAGCCTTGGACGAGGTGAGAAGATTTGCTCCTAGAATATAAATATGCTTTTCTCTTTATGATAATCCACATTCAGATCAATTTGAGACAGTACATTATGATGGGCGGCCTGTATTCGCTAATGTTTATACGTCGTCCGATGAATACGCATTACCAGAAGCTCAACATAATATTGCATGAAGATGGCAGAGTGTTGCACATTATGGATGATATTGTGGCCAATTTGCATCGGGACGATGATAGCCGACCGGGCTCCCGAACTTCCCGGCTATCGGAACGTCGATCTAAGTTACGGCTGAATATGGATGATAATCAGCGTAGGACCTTTATGCTCGAGGACGATGAGTTGCCCTATTTCTTTGTGATCATTCATATGCCACGCGAGCTGTGCCTGTGGGGTGAGCCGATAGCTTGTCAATATCTATGTACAATAGAGGAGCAAGTATCGGAAGTTTCGTTAACTGATGACCGAAAAGAGTCGGTGATTAAGAAGAAGAAATCAAAAATAAGTTCAGCTAGGCACACCGAGCTCAACTGGAATGAAAGCTTACAGTTTACGCAAATACCACGTCGCGAAACGTCCATAAATGTGTTTCGTCCCACGCTGATATCCCTGTTGCGTGTAAGCCGCAAACTCATGCCCGGGGAGAATGTGCTGCCACTGCGAAACTTTCATTTGGTGCAGCAATTGGATCATTTGAAGGTGCGTCAATTGGAACGATATTGTGTGCCGCGGATCATATCCTCGTTCAAGTTTCCGCTGGAGGTCAGGGAGGAGCTAGAACAGCGACCGAAGACCAGAAATATGCTGATCCGTCGACGGAGTGTCGAGGTTGAGGATAATTTTGTTGTCGGCGATTTGGATTTCGATTATGAGGTACAGCAGGCAGCCGAACGCGTGTATCCCGTCTTTCATGATATCGAGCATGTCAAATACGATGAGGAGGACATACAGCAGCCGTTCGAAAAGAAATCCATTTACGGACTGATCGATACCTTTGAGAGCATATCGCACAGGTACATTGCCAGACATCGCGACATCACGAATCAGTCGGATTTTATTATGAAAAAGCTGCCATCAAAAAAGACTGTAGTACCCAGCCCAGACAGACAGACGGTTCTGCCCAAGTTTAAGTCCTCGATACGAGTTGGGAGCAGGCATTCCTCACTGCGCGGCAGTCATAGTCCGCTGCCGACGTCCGGCTCACAAATGAGCGGCTATCGTAACTCGAGTCGTCTTAATTTAAATGATGGAGCAACGGACACACAGGACACCCGGACACCGGAGGCCCCTACGCCATTGGAGGAAGAGGTGAACGCCGAAAAGCCCAAAGTGAAGGTTATACGCTGGTCCACCAGGCACATCATGTCCAGCCAATTCGATAGACAGGCACGCACCATGCACATCAAAACCGATCGACTGGGCATCTTTGGGCTTGCCTACAAGCGCTACGAGCACTTCCCCTTTCGCGACTGGAGCATGCAGCCCAATGAGGAGAAGTAAGTGTATACTATTCTATTATCTGATGAGTATTTCGAGACGAGACATGTCCGCCTTTCACTTTGCTGAACGGTTTCGAGCCGAGGTTTTCTTATCAAACACGGAACTGATTGCTAATCATTCTCGTTTTGTTTAGTCATGTATTTTACATGAAGGATATCCTACTCCAACATATATATATCCTTTTGATTATTCTATTGCATATTCGAATTCTTGATAGTTATCGTTTAGTAAGCCTAGATCAATTTGGCATAGTATGGATCTTAATGCTTGTAGCTTTTAGTTAGACACGCTCGCTAACATGCCTCTAACATACCCCCCCTCTTTGCTCTAGTAATGAGGAAATTATACTGAGCGTGGATACGTTTCACGCACGTGTCATACTCTATATTACGGCTCAGGGCATTCGAGGCTATGTGACAGATATAACCAAAAATTATGTGGCACATCCGGTCAAGTATTTGGATATACCAAACCCGATCTCCGATATACGTGAGCTGCGCCGGGTAAGCATTGTCATATCTCTAATCCGATTATCATTTCGATATTTATCGATAAACGAATCACAGCGTTTCTATGAGAAGAGCATCAACATCTTTGCGGAGAATGATGCCTGCTTTTACATAGACAATGGTTACTTTTCGGTGAAGCATGTGGCCACAGAGGATCACACCTATGATGCCATGGCACTGCACTGTAAGCTGATGAAGTTCTATCGTTCCAGCTGGAATCGTTTGGCCTCTCGTCGCAATATTTTGATGGGCATGAAGAATGCCAAGGATAATTCCGACTATACTGAGGTCACAATGCGTATAACACCCGACAGTGTGTCGTTTGTCGAGGTATCGGAGCTTTGTTCCGATAATCTCGATGTTATACGGCTGGACTTTAAGAACACGTGGCGCAACATGAGCGTGAGTAGGGGCTAGCGGGTGGACATATAAAATGGCTTAGCTATTATCGAATATATATAATTACAGAACTATACGGATCTGCATCAGGCAATCAGCTCGATGAATCCCCATGCTACGGATGTCAGAAACAAGGACCCACTGTTGCTCTTTCAGGTCAAGCGGATGCTCAACGAACTGCATATAATGAGTTTTTCGTAAAGTCATGTATAGATTTCTGTAAATTTATACGAATTAAAATTTTTTGGGAGAAATAACTGTCAGTTTCTTTTTTTTATAAATTAAATCGGAAATCCTAAAAACACACAGCATACACACACGCGCACACATATACACAAACACACAAAAAAATACAATAAAAAACAAAAAAACAAAAAAAAAATACAATAGAAAATCGATTAAAAAATATGTAAAAAAAAACCCCTCATAAGAATATCAATAAAATGGATAAAAAAAAGCCAAATTCCAAAACGGTTAAAAAAACAGCTAAATCGAGCAAAGTTAAAGCGGCGGGCAACGATATGCCGTTAATCTCCGAGGAGGAATGGAAAACACGCGAACTTCGTCACCAGCAACGGCTCCAGGATATCAGAGTGTGCCTGGGCTTCATAACCGGTTAGTAGAGCATCGAATCCGAAATCGTATTGAATGCTAAATATGCTGTACTGTTTCCAGAGTCCATAACGGACTATAAGGATCTGCTGGTGGAGCAGAGTCATTCGACACATTGGAATCGTTATCTCGCCTGCGACGGCCTGCCTCGAGTGCAGTATCCGCCGGAGATACGCTCCATGATTGCCGAGATGCGACACTTTGAGGCCAAGCATGTTGAGTCTGTGGTCAATTGGGCACTGTCCGTGGACGAGCAAAGCGTTCTCTCCCAGGACATATTCCGCACCGATCTGACGCGCAAAACGCTCGAACAGAACCTTCGTCCCAATATTGGTCGCATCTACGATGAATATGTACAGCGCATTCTCACAACTCTGGATCGCATTGAGCTGTTGCTGGCCAGCGACTATGACATGACCGATCTGCCCGCGGATCGGGCCTTGGAAATAACATCAGTGAGTTTCTGAGAAGTGGAAATAGGTGGAGTTCAAATAGAATCCACGGAAGGGTATAGAGTATACTTTCGTCTGCCAAAGATTAAATACCCTTGCAGACATTTGTTGTAGACAAGATTTTAATCGACCAGGGCTTTTACTTAGTCCGATTGAGCCTACCCTTGAAAGCTATATAATTTTCCCAATCTGTTATTAAAATAATTTCCTGCTGTATTTGGCGCATTATAAGGCGTTTAATCCATTTGTTAGGGTCTCCTCAATAATTGTTTGACAGTTTCTATCTATATATTCAACTATACAATATATCTTTTTGATAGTTGAAAATTCTTATTTCATAATATATTCTTTGTAGCTGCGTAGTGAACTGAACCAGGAGATCGACGTGATCTTCGATAAACTGACCTATCGCATTGTCTGTGCGCCGACCTCCTACAGAACGTAAGCGCAAATATATACAAGTTAATAGGATTGATTTTTTTTTTACTATTCTCAGCGCATTTGATGGGGTAACGGAAACCTATTGCTACGAGAGCCCCAATTTTAACTATCAACTGTGGTGGCTGAGCGATGTGCCGATACGTTTCCAGTATTTGGAGTAAGCATAACATACAGCTCCATTAAGTTGGGCTGGACTTTGAATTGGTTTGCATTCATAAATAGGCTACCCCTAATGCTGGCCGATCTGAATTGTGTAGGCATTAAGATACAAATACCAATGAGTGTGCTTGGCGACAATCTGACCCTGCGCTGCATACACACCTTCTTCGATCCCTATTCGGAGAGTGCCAAGAGCTATGAACAGGTGATCGATAGGGTGACGGATAATTTCAACGGGGGCATGATGGACATTGAGGATTGCCTGATCAACGAGTGGCTGATGCAGGTGAATATTATGGAAAATGCAATAACCCAAGTGGAAACGAAGCTAATCGAATATGAGGAGTATCTGAGGTGTGTCCATCGGTGCACTTGCTAAATATGTAAGATACTCATTTTCAAAGCATCTTTTTTACACGCTCAGAGAAATGGAGTTAAGGGCAGCCGCATCCAAGACGAAAGAAACTGATAAGAATAAAAACAAAAACAAACGATCATCAAAACAAGTCACCCCAAAAATTAAGGTATTAAAGGAGCCCGAACAACTTCCGGAGGGCATGTTTCCCGATCCGCGTAACGCATTTCTCGAGCAGGAACAGCGCGAATTCGAGGAGTTTCTCGACGAGTTCCTAAATCCAGCGAACATGCACCTGAAGCCATACGAGGTAATGAGACTAAAGAGATCTGATTTGTATAGAGTCCAGGCATATCTGATTCGTTAAGAATATAGAAAAAATGTATTTGCCTATTGAACAGATCAATTTACGACGTTACTGTATACTGGGTGGACTCTATTCGATGATCTTTGTGCAGAAGCCCAAGCATACGGACTTTCAAAAGTTCAATGTAACCCTGCATGAAGATGGACGCATATTGCGTACCTTGGAGGAGTTGCGTGCGGATGTGGATGAGGATGGTGAGGAGGGCAATTATATGGCTGGATCGCGTGCCGCTTCCGTGCGTTTCACCTCAACGTCGTCGCATAAGATTCGTATGAACTTAGCCCAGGAGGATCCCACAACTGAACAATTTCAGCTGAATGCGGACGAGTTACCCTATTTCTGTATGACCTTTAAGCTGCCGGAGCATCTGTGCAGATTTGGCCAGCCCCTTGCCTGTCAGTTTATCGAAGAGGAGATCGAGGAGGATGAGCCGGAGAACCTGTTAACGGTTGAGCTTGAAGAGCATCGAAATAAGAAAAAGAGATCGTTAAGAAAAATAAATCCCGCACTGACAATCGTAAAGGCACCAACAGCAGCTGAGGGCAAGGAGAAAATCAGGAATGCAAGTAGAAAGACTGTCAGAAGATCTTTGGATATCATGAGTTATTTGCCCAGACCCAGGCAATCGAACATTATACCAAAGACGCCACAACCAAAGAACCTATATCGTCGCTCCGTCCTTAGCATGCTACGTCTGAGCTCTCTGCGGACCACAATACTGCCCGGCGTACATTTTCGTAACTTTCCGATAACAGGTGGGCCGTTAACCAATATGCAGGCACGCGATCTGCAGCGTCATTGCCTGCCTCGGATTTTGTCCTCCTTCAAGTTTCCCACGGAGTTTCGATCGGATCGAACCGAAGAACTGGCCGAAAGAGGAGCGCGCGGCTGCATTCTAATACGGCGACATCTTGCGGACACAACAAAGTATGAAGAGGAAGAGCAGCCAGAGTACTTTAGTTTTGAGAAGCAGGAAGCACCCGAAAGACTTTATCCCGTTTTTGACTGGCGCGAACGATTGCTGCTGGAAGAATCCTCTTCGAGTGACACGTCGTCATTGACTGAAGGCGCGTTCAAAATCAAGTTTGTCAAAGTCGATCAAATAGGCGATGTTGTTAAAGCGGATGACCCCGAGAAGCAAACCATATATGGCGTCATCAATACTCTACAGGAAATCCAAGATAAGTACAAGGCACATTCAAAGAAAATCACAGAACAGCCCAATTTTATCGTTAAAGCCATCCCCCTAACCCGGGCCAACACAACATTAGAAGTGCCTGAGAGCGCGCAAACTTCTCGACCCAAGTCCACAGTTCACATCTCCATGGTCGGTGCTAGCAAATTAATACCGTCAGCAAAGTCCACACGCCAATCTCACGCCCGTACCTCCGGGGATGCGAGTCAACGCCTGGGCGTGGATATGGATAGCGAGATAATCAGCATAAACTCAGGCGTTGCCTTCCATCCGAACATGAGAAATTCGAAATTGGGCTCATATGACGACGACAAGGATTCGCACAAGGAGCTACCCAAAGTCAAGCACTGGACAACAAAGTATATAAATCGCACCGTATTCGAGCCAGAGACTTTAACGATCAAGATCCAAACGGATCGATTGGGTATTTTTGGTTTTGCCTACAAGCGCTACGAGCAGTTTCCCTTTCGCAATTGGACCCTCCAGTATAACGAAGAGGAGTAAGTAGGCTCTATTTACCGAAGATATAAGTATAAAGAATAAAAGGGTATAAGGGTATGTAGAAGGAATGAAAGGGTGTTACAAAGGGTATAAAGATTGTGTGCAAGAAAGCATCTCCAACATCCAAGCAAGTATATATATATTCCTGTTCAGTATCAATAGCCAAGGCAATAGAGGCATGTCCGTCTGTTGATCTGTCCGTACCTAAGCACAACCCTTCGATCATTTAGCTACTATAAGGGCGCAGGATTTTAAATTTCTAATGATCAGGTAGAAGTTATTTTGCACCCGAGCACTCTCGATTAGATCAGTCTACCAACAGCTGATCGACTGTCTAACCTTCCCCTAGTATCAACGAGATCGTCTTTAAATTGGACACCTTCCATGTAAGCATATATCTATTTATAACTAATGCCGGCATACGGGGCTATGTGACGAAAATGACCACCGAGTATACGGCTAGGCCAGTCAAGTATTTGGAAATCAAGGAACCCATATCCGATTATCGTGAGCTACGCAGGGTAAACAACTAGATCTCAAGATATTATAGAGCTCTTGACTAATTTGGAATTTTGCCCTGCAGCGCTTCTGCGAGAAGAACATCAATATATTTGCGGAGCACGACGCCTGCTATTATATTGAGAATGGTTACTTCTCGGAGAAGCATCTGGCGACCGAGTTGCATGTCTACGATGCATTTGCCATCCACTGCAAGCTGATGAAGTTCTATCGCTGCGATTGGAATCGTTTGGCCACACGGCGCAATATTGTGCTCTGTTTGCGCAATCCGAAGGACTTGAACGATGGTGCGGATGTCACCGTCCGGGTAACGCCAGACAATTCAACGTTTGTGGAAATCTCTGAGGCCTGCTCGGATAATTTGGATGTAATCAAGCTCGACTATCAGCCCACCTGGCGCAACATTGGCGTACGAATTGCGGATTATAAATAATAACCTTGCAGAGAGAACTCGTAAAGAGTGCTTCGGCTCTTAGACCTACCCAGTTCAATGCAAGGGTATTCAACCTTCGGCTTGTCGAAGGCATCAGTTCTTTCTCGTGTATTAATCGCTACTCTCTTCTAGGTCTACTCGGATTTGCATCAGCTGATTAACTCAATGTATCCCCAGGCAACAGATGTGCGAAATCGTGATCCCAAATTGATCTACTATATAC